CGCCATCTTCCGTCGCGTCTCCGCCGGCTCTGCATCTCTGCCGTCTCTGCCAGCTCTGCATCTCTGCGGTCCTATCTGGAGGCCAGATTCGCCTCTCCAAAGACCAGACCCGCCCCTCCGAACACGGCACGGGCCGGAGGCGGGCCGCCGCCGGACCATGGTGTTGCTGAACGCGCAGACCCTGGAGCGGCGTCCGGTGCGGCTGGCCTCGAGCAACCGCTCCGAGAGGCCGGCCGTGCGGCGCGTTCGCTCCGAACCAGACGTCCAGGCCGAGGACGGCCCTCCGGCGCGCAAGAACGCCGCGCCGCCGCCCTGCCACTGCCGGTAGGTAGCGCTGCCGTGGGCGGAGCGTGTCAAATTTGGGGCGCTCGGTGCTCTTTAGGAGGCTGGAGCACACATCTGGTGACATAAACGCCTGATTATATTGCGTATGTAGGACGCCGATGTAACTTCATGCCACCACATAAAACCACCACGTAGGCGCAGTCTACATCGATTTTTACGGTTTTTGACAACAGGTGTGTGATTTTTGCTCCTCGCATTAACAGGCTACGATATCGAAACGAATTGCAATGCCTCCCCTCGTACAAAGTTTAAATGTCACGAAGCACGGCCTCCCGTAATTCCATCGCGTCGTTCCCCGGCTGGACGCGGCGCGCAGCCAGGCGTCTGGGAACAGTTAGAAGTCACGGGTCGACGCAATAACCCATGACTCCATGAGGCACACCCACACCATTCAGACTTCCACCAGCTTTGGGTCGGCGATCGCCTTTGAACTTCGCCGAAGCCATACGGCTGCCGGCGCACAAGCGGCTGGCCGGCGACCTGTGGGCTGAGGTCAGAGGTCAGGACTGCACCGCGGTGTGTGCACAGCTGTTCCTGGGACCACAGAGGCCGCTGTCGTTCCTGGGTACGTGACCCCGCTGACTGGCTCATGAGCGCCGTTTGGTCAGGCTGGGCGCTACGTTAATGGCGTGCAACACCGCGCGCCGTCGGAGCATTCATCCCGTGTAACATACATAGCATAGCATAGCAGCATAGCACAGCATAACGGCATAGCATATCATAGCGGTAAAGAATAGCATATCAGCATATCATAGCGGCAAAGAATAGCATATCAGCATAGAATAGCATAGCATAGCAGTATAGCATAGCAGTATAACATAACACAGCAGCATAGCACAGCACAACAACATAGCATAGCAGCATAACATAGCATAGCAGCATAGCAGCATGGCAGCATAGCATAGCATAGCATAGCACAGCAGCATGACATCATAGGCCATGGCAGCATAGCATACGTAGCCGCATGTGCACGTCAGTGCCTGGTAACACGATGCGCCGCCGCGGCGTGTACACGTTCGCTTCATCGCGCAGACGCCGGACGCGTTCGCCCCCGCTTGGCGTGTAGCTCACCTGTCGTGAGCTTCGCGAACCATTCACGCTATTCGTCAATGTCGCCGGTGTCTTACACCACGGCGCCATTGTTTGGGGATTTTTAAACAGGCTCGCGGTCGACCACCGAAGCCACAGCAGCTCGTGCAGTCTGGCGAAAAAGCGGCACCGGCATGGGCGCTGGGCCTTCCGGAGTGCGGTGCACAGCGCGCACACCCTGTGCACAGTTTGTGCACAGTGAGCTCAGCGCCCGAGGCCGATGCAGCGCATGGCTGACGCGGCCGCGGCGGTGTTTCACCTCCGCTGACCAGCCACGCGGCAGTGCTGCGGCGGGTGTTTGGATGCGAGGACAGGGCTGGCACGGAGCTGGGGCAGAGCTGCAAGAGATGGGGCAGGGCTGGCACGGAGCTGGGGCAGAGCTGCAAGAGATGGAGCAGAGCTGGCACGGAGCTGGGGCAGAGCTGCAAGAGATGGAGCAGAGCTGGCACGGAGCTGGGGCAGAGCTGCAAGAGATGGAGCAGAGCTGGCACGGAGCTGGGGCAGAACTGCAAGAGATGGAGCAAAGCCGGCGGCGGAGCGCGCACTGACCCAGTGGCGTGGGGCGGGAACGAGGCCGTCAGATCACGACACGGTGCCTGTGTACCGGCACTAACTGTCCGCTCGTTGCCGCGGGCGGCACGCTCCCGTCGTTAGGATGAGCGGGCAGAGGTCGGCCGCTGGCAGCGGTGACGGCAGAGACAGACGGGGATCGCCCGGCGACGCTCGCCGCACTACTCGGCGCATTCAGACAATATCTCCGTATATCGCTGCAGCGCACCAGCGGCTGCTGTGCGGGCCGCGGACAATGGGCGTTGGGCGCACGACTGCTCCCGGCTTTGACCCCGCTCACATTGTTGACCCACGCCGGCACTCAAGGGGCCTTGTGTGGTGATGTGATCATTGTCTCGCACCCGGAGCGCTGCCCAGTACGGGCCAGCCGTGGCCTTTCACCCGACAGCAATGCCCAGAACAATGCACCGGAGCGGCGCGAGAGGTGGTCGGGAGTACCGCCGTGGCCACGCTACCCCTCTGGAAGTGTATCTGGGTACGGCCACGCGACGCCTCTGGGAGTGTATCTGGGTACGGCCACGCGGCGCCTCTGTGAGTGTATCTGGCAGCGGCCACGCGGCGCCTCTGGGAGTGTATCTAGGTACGGCCACGCGGCGCCTCTGGGAGTGTATCTAGGTACGGCCACGCGGCGCCTCTGTGAGTGTATCTGGCAGCGGCCACGCGGCACCTCTGGGAGTGTATCTAGGTACGGCCACGCGGCGCCTCTGGAAGTGTATCTGGGTACGGCCACGCGGCGCCTCTGGGAGTGTATCTAGGTACGGCCACGCGGCGCCCCTGGGAGTGTATCTGGGTACGGCCACGCGGCGCCTCTGGGAGTGTATCTGGGTGCGGCCACGCGGCGCCTCTGGGAGTGTATCTGGCAGCGGCCACGCGGCGCCTCTGGGAGTGTATCTAGGTACGGCCACGCGGCGCCTCTGGGAGTGTATCTAGGTACGGCCACGCGGCGCCTCTGTGAGTGTATCTGGCAGCGGCCACGCGGCGCCTCTGGGAGTGTATCTGGCAGCGGCCACGCGGCGCCTCTGGGTGTGTATCTAGGTACGGCCACGCGGCGCCTCTGGGAGTGTATCTAGGTACGGCCACGCGGCGCCTCTGGGAGTGTATCTAGGTACGGCCACGCGGCGCCTCTGGGAGTGTATCTGGGTGCGGCCACACTGCTTCCCTGGGAGTGTATCTGGCTACGGCCGCGCGGCCCCTCTGGGAAAAACGCGGAGTGTGTACGCACGCAAAAACGCACAGAGTGTGTGTATCAGATCTACACTCACACAGAGCACACAGATATAGACCTAACCACCATGTACACATCCACGGAACATACGCGCTACGCACCCAGATATACACAGACGGAGCATATGCACACAGATGCACAAACACATACACAGAACTGAAATATCCACACCATTACCACCATGATGATTAGATGACTGCAGTTCAGCTATCCGGTCAAGAACACACCGGGTGTCATGAGCAGATGACCCGTGCAGACCGCCGCTGCCAGGCCGCTGCCGACCGGCGCCCCCACCGAACTGGGACGCCCGGGGGCGGCCTGCGGGCGGCGCAGGGGTATTCTGGGCACGCATCTGCACAGTGTCACAGTGCGCGGGCGTCATGCTACACAGTATGCTGTGCAGCGAGGTGGGCCGGCAGCTGCGTGAGAGACGACTCACATCAGCTCCGAACAGAATGCTTCCTGTGATTGGCACCTGCAAAACCACGAGAACACGGGGTAAACGCAAAATGCTGCAGGTGGGGTGTCGCTGATCACGACCACTACGTTTGCAGCTGCCGGGCACGGCCGCGGCATGAGGGGGAGGGGGGGAGGGGGTACCGAGTGACGTCACTACATCGACGCGGTTTTGGTACATGACAGCTGACAAACCACGCAAAGTGTGACAAACGACATCGGCTTTGATTAAGCGAATCAAATCCCTTCTTAGGCTGCTTGACCTCAGGTCAGACATTGTGAGGGATCTCAATGCAGCATTGTAAAGCCACGTCGCACATCGCATAAGAGACTCCGTAGCCTCACGCCGCCTGTAAAAACTGAGAGCTGAGAGCCCGTGACGGCGACATCAGTTCTCTACGCTCAGTCATGCAATCCGTCGTTATATCGGCCCGAAGCATGGCAACTGTTTTTTTGTTTTCCGTCGGACAGGCTGGTCCGAATAGCAGACCGTTACGTCCACGCAAAGCCACATTGGCGTTTCGTGGGCTTCCGTCCATTGTTTCTTGTACTGGTGAAGCTCTGCATAGATAGTGCCATTTTTCACAAGGCTTTTCACAAGACAACGCACGTAGTTAGGCACTCATGAAGCACAAAAATTTACTTTTCAAGTCCACGGACTTTTGCGGCCCGCATATGCGAAACTCAAATCCAGAGCTGAATCCTATTCAAAGCCGGCTTCGGTTTATGCACGATAAGCATCCTAACGCTGGTATATATCCTCCAACCACACCTGTACTTCTGATCCCCACCTGAACGGCCTATCTCTGTCTGCGCCCGAGCTGACCACCTCTGCCCTTGGGGGTCCAGCTGACCACCTCTGCCCTTAAGGGCTCCAGCTGACCACCTCTGCCTTAAGGGCTCCAGCTGACCACCTCTGCCCTTAAGGGCTCCAGCTGACCACCTCTGCCCTTAAGGGCTCCAGCTGACCACCGCTGTACGTAGGACCCCAGCTGACCACCTCTGCCCTTGGGGTCCAGCTGACCACCGCTGTACGTAGGACCCCAGCTGACCACCTCTGCCCTAAGAGCCCTAGCTGACCACTTCTGCCCTCGGGGCTCCAGCTGACCACCTCTGCCCTTCGGGCTCCAGCTGACCACCTCTGCCCTTGGGGCTCCAGCTGACCACCTCTGCCCGTAGAGTCCCAGCTGACCACCTCTGTCCGTAGGGCACCTCTGCTCGAAGGGCCCTAGGTGACCACCTCTGCCCTTTGCGGCTCCAGCTGACCACCTCTGCTTTTGGGGACTCCAGCTGACCACCCTGTCCTCCGCACCAGGTACTGGACCATCGACCGGACCATCAGCAAGTCGGGTTCAGCCGCCAAGGGCACGTACCAGCACATACGCCGCTCGTGCCGCGAGCGGGGCCTGCTGTTCGAGGACCCTGACTTCCCGGCCTCCGGTCAGGCGCTGGGCAAGAAGCCACCGCCGCACGGTGTCGTCTGGCTCCGACCGCACGTGAGTGCCCACGGCGGGGAAAAGGAGGGAGGGGGAGGCAGTGTGTGTGAGTGGTCTGGTCTTGGGTCTGGCTCCGGCCGCAGTGAGTGCCCACGGCGGGCGAAAGGAGGGAGGGGGAGGCAGTGTTGAGTGGTCTGGTCTTGGTCTGGCTCCGGCCGCACGTGAGTGCCCACGGCGGGCGAAAGGAGGGAGGGGGAGGCAGTGTTAAGTGGTCTGGTCTTGGTCTGGCTCCGGCCGCACGTGAGTGCCCACGGCGGGCGAAAGGAGGGAGGGGGAGGCAGTGTTAAGTGGTCTGGTCTTGGTCTGGCTCCGCCGCACGTGAGTGCCCACGGCGGGCGGAAGGAGAGAGGGGGAGGCAGTGTAAGTGGTCTGGTCTGGTCTGGCTCCGACGCAGTGAGTGCCCACGGGGGGCGAAAGGAGGGAGGGGGAGGCAGCGTTAAGTGGTCTGGTCTTGGTCTGGCTCCGGCCGCACGTGAGTGCCCACGGCGGGCGGAAGGAGAGAGGGGGAGGCAGTGTTAAGTGGTTTGATGAGAAGTAGCGTATATGATGGCGTAAAGTAGCTTTGTAATAATATGGTGATATTAATAGGTAGAAATGGTTGTGTAATGACAGTCTGTTACTGTAGTGTAGAATGAAAAGTATAAATATATTTCTAAATAGCGTACGAATAAACATGTGCCATAATGTTTTTAGGGGAGGGCAATATATATATATATATATATATATATATATATATATATATTATACTTGAGGTGCTGTTCTTTGCGAGGCCGTTCTTTAGACCTAATTGGTGACGTCAAATCCCATTTACTTATCGTCGTTTACGGTTTCGACCCATCTGCGTTTAAATTCGTCATTTACAGCATGGTTTGCTGAGTTAAAAGAATGTGAGACCAGAGTCGGAACGCAAACAGATGTGTTGTTCATAGATGATAGCGTACTTTTTCCTCATGACCTGGATATAGTATATGTACTAATGCATGGTCTAACATCACAAAAAGTCTTCATTCTATTAGGCCTATGACAGCGGCGTATGCTGGCTGAACCTCACTGAGAGTCACACCGGCCCTGCTTTTGAATAGAGCGTAGGCGCGACTAAGCATTTGTACAGACCGAGTCAAGTGGTCAAGTTGCTGCCCATGGAGGAGCTGCTGCCCGATTTTTACCGGGCTTTTCAGGGATGGCGATAAGCTCAGTTGTGGCGTAGTTTTCAAACATCGAGTGAAACCCCCAATGACTTTTACCCTCAGCTGAAAGTACTGGGGTTGGGAAAACGACAATTGGAGCTAGCGTAATTTCCAGAGCATTGGCTTATCCAAGTAAAGCCCGCAGCACGACACCACTGCCAGACTGGAAGAGACGTCTTGCCACCCAGTGCGCTGTGTTCTCAGGGTTTGGTGCACTGACCACGCTCCCTCCCAGCCTATTCTGTAGCAGACTTCTGCAGATTTCGCGTCTCTCCAGGATGTCTCTGACTTCTCTGTGCTCGCTCAGAATACCCCTAATTTCTCAACGGCATGGTTGTCCTGTGTCTCATAAGGAGACCTCTACCCCTCTCCCTCCCAAATCTTGCCTCTTCTAGATCTCCGCAGTGGACCCCTCGCCGTTTTACAAGGTCTTTAGAAGACATTTCGCACGATTCGTGTCTTTCGGAAGAATTGACACCTTCGTGCCCTCTTAAGAGTCGCGCACTAGTTTTGGGTGCGCTTAGGAGACTCCCAGCAGCTAACGCCTCTGCGTCTCTTCGATAGATATTTAACCCTCCTGTGTATCCGAGGGAGATCGTACGACTCTCCAGTGTACTCTCGAAAGATCATATGACTCCTGCATCTCCCAATGAGACTTCTGACTCTTCCGCGTCCCTTCAGAAAAAATGCATTACTTTCCTATCTTCTTAGGAAACCGCTGTTTCCTCTGAGTCTCCCCAGTAGACCCATGACCGTCCTGTGCTGTGTCTGGAGACCCCTCACTCCACGTGTCCCCTCAGAACACCTCCGACGCCGCTATTGCTCCCCCAGGAGACCCCTCACTCCACGTGTCCCCTCAGAGCGCCTCCGACGCCGCTATTGCTCCCCCAGGAGACCCCTCACTCCACGTGTCCCCTCAGAGCGCCTCCGACGCCGCTATTGCTCCCTCAGGAGACCCCTCACCCCACGTGTCCCTTCAGAGCTCCTCCGACGCCGCTATTGCTCCCTCAGGAGACCCCTCACCCCACGTGTCCCTTCAGAGCTCCTCCGACGCCGCTATTGCTCCCTCAGGAGACCCCTCACCCCACGTGTCCCTTCAGAGCTCCTCCGACGCCGCTATCGCTCCCTCAGGAGACCCCTCACCCCACGTGTCCCTTCAGAGCTCCTCCGACGCCGCTGATGCCTCCTCAGGAGACCCCTCACCCCACGTGTCCCTTCAGAGCTCCTCCGACGCCGCTATTGCTCCCTCAGGGGATCCCTCACTCCACGTGTCCCCTCAGAGCGCCTCTGACGCCGCTGATGCCTCCTCAGGAGATCGTCGACCGTCCCCGCTTCATCTCGGACAGCAGCGGTCGGTTTGACGTGGAGCGGGGCGAGCTGGGAGACATCTGGCTGCTGCAGGCCGTCTCCACGCTGACCTTGACCCCGCGCTTCCTGGACCGGGTCGTGCCGCCGGACCAGTCGTTCGAGCAAGATTACTGCGGCCTGTTCAGGTCAGACGAGAGGCGCAGTGGCGGCGGCGCAGTGGCGGCGGCGCAGCGCGCCGGCCGTAGCGCACCGGCCGTAGCGCGCCGGCCGTAGTGCACCGGCCGTAGCGCGCCGGCCGGAGCGCAACGGCCGTAGCGTACCGGCCGTAGCGTACCGGCCGTAGCGCGCCGGCCGGAGCGCACCGGCCGTAACACAGTCAGACGGCCGACACCGGCGTCATGTCGTCACGCCTGGCGTGCTGTTTGAGCTCATTTGATGGCTTTATCCTCATTGTGATGACATGTTTGGAAGCTGATTTGATCAAACGATGCAAAGTTATTAAAAGTGTGAATTGGGAGCTTAAGGCACCGCTGTCAAAAACTGCAGGAATAGATTCCCAATTGCGGGGAAAGTACAATGCCATGCCGCCTGTCCAACGTGCAGCCACAAGAATGGCGTGATTAATATAGGCTGGCAAAACTGGATGATAAGCCTGCGTTTTTTGAACTTAACGTTTCGAACGCTACATTACAATTAATTGGTTAAATCGTTGCTCACGCCGCGGGAGCGATAGGGTGTTCAGCTGACGGTTGCTGACAGACATGGTAAACAGACAGACTGTCATGGCGTCGTGTAAGTGTGACGCTCTCGTGCAATGCTGGGGCCTTATGTCATCATGAGCTACAGCATGGTCATGATCTCTCACTGTGGTGATCACACTGCCTTTAACAAGGGTTATTACAACGATAACACGGCTTTTAGTTGTCTATTTGCGTCATCTTTACAAGCATTCACGCGATTTGCCGCAATGAACAATAGACATTTTTGACAATCATCATAGTTGGTGGATCACTAGCCCAGATGTTTCGTGCCCAAGGTATCAGGGAACGTGACATCGAAAATCTGATCGAACCGAATCTGATCTGCCCTGTTTTAGCCTGACTTGGTTCAAAGCTATCAGGCCTGACCTGAAGCAATCATACCAAACACGGAATGCTCGGACCTGACCTGCAACCTGACTACCTGATCTTTCCCTGACCTGATCTGACCTGATCCTGAGTGACCCACCCTGCGGCCCGGCCCGACCCCTGACTCAGTGCGCGCCGTTGCAGGTTCCGGTTCTGGCACTTCGGCGAGTGGGTGGAGGTGATGGTGGATGACCGCCTGCCGACCCACCGCGGCCGCCTGCTGTACGCGCACTCCTCCGACCCGGCCGAGTTCTGGTCCGCCTTGCTCGAGAAGGCCTATGCCAAGTGAGTGCCGGCTGTGGGCCCCAGCCGGCCTGAGGTCGGGTCAGGTTGGCTGGCCCATACGCAGGTGGCCTAGTCTCAGCGAGAGGTGTCAACGTCACTTTTGTGCTGGGTGGAGCTTGATTCAGCTTGTATTGTCTGGATGGAGACGGCCTAAAGTCATGTGAACATCTGGAAAATGGCGTTGCGTTGCTTTGCAGTGTTCGTATAATGGCTCAAACGCTAGCTGTCGTTTCCATGCTGTATATATATATATATATATATATATATATATATATATAAACATGCATGTTTTACATATAATGCACACACACACACACACACACACACACACACACACACACACACACACACACACACACACACACACACACACACACACACACACACACACACACACACACACACACACACACACACACACACACACACACACACACACACACACACACGCACACATATATATATATATATATATATATATATATATATATATATATATATATATATATATAAACCCCTCTTCCCGCGACGCTTCAAGGCAGCTCACTGCATGTAAATGTTTTGCAAAGCCGTCTTGTGAGCGTAATATGCTTACGTTTTTGGCAGGTTCTACGGCTCGTACGAGAGCCTGCACCAGAACTCGACGACGCTGGCCCTGCAAGATCTGACGGGAGGCATCGTGCAGAGCTTCAGCCTGCAGCAGCAGGAGACGTACGTCATCTACCAGGTGCTCAACAGCGCCGTCCCCCGCTCCAGCCTCATCGTGGCCAGCATACACATCGTGAGTGCGCCGGCTCCGAGTCCTGCAGTCGTGGACTCCGGCGTCCTGGGGCGAATCCCTCCCGGACTCGCGCCACGGTCAGTCCGGCCGCGTGCTGTCCGCGGGTCGGAGCCGAAGTCTCCGCAGCTCCACACCGCGCTGTGTCCAGATGTTTCTGGTAGCGGGTGACGGACCGTCTGGTCCATGATATGTCGAACTCTTGACATCTTGCAATTCATTTAGCTTGAACAAAAGTGCTGGGGTTATTAAACGAGCTTAACGTGAGCGAAAGGATTAAACCAGGCACTACGGCCTGGGGCGCTTTTTTAATGAAGTAACAACCTGTCGTGCTGCAAAAATCGCAGTTCGCAATGTTGTGAGCCATATGAGGTGCAAGATGTCAAGAGTTTGACATAAAATGGAACTCACTGCCGACTTACATGTTTGCAACACGACAGGTTGTTACTTCATTAAACGGTTGCACCGCAGGTCGTGGTGGTCGGTTTATTCTTATGCCTCATCTCCAGAGTTTCGTTTAATCAGTGATTACTGATTTTTGTGATTTTTTGTGATCCCAGTGATTTTTGTTGGAGACTGTGTATTTCCGCCGTGGCCCGGGACTGTAGCCGCGTCACCGCGACGCCGTGGGCTCCGCGGTTCGCCTCCCATGACTGACGTCAAGACGGCGTGTCTGGCAGGAGCGGGACACGAAGCGGCACCTGCGGCTGCGGAACGGCCTGGTGACCCAGCACGCCTACAGCGTGACCGGCCTGGCGCGGGTCAGAAGCAAGCTGGGGGAGACGCCGCTGGTCAGGTGAGGATGGACGCGGTGATGGAGGCCTGGCGCGGGTCAGGAGCAAGCTAGGGGAGACGCCGCTGGTCAGGTGAGGATGGACGCGGAGGCGAAGGCCTGGCGCGGGTCCGAAGCAGGCTGGAAGAGACGCCGCTGGTCAGGTTTAGGGTGGACGCCGGAGCCACGGCGGTGGACACCGATGCAGTGCTCCCGCGGCACAGCCGGCTGCCGCGCATGCCGTATACGTTCCAGGACTGTGCTGTGGCGCTCAGCTCGTTCGTTGGTAACTCTCTGTTGGACAAATCGTAGCGAACGTTTTGCTGCACCGGCAAATGGCATGCAGATACAAGCGTATGACATAAGCAAGAACCAGTGACTGCACGAAAATTCATCAATCGTGTCAGCGGAAACGAATATATCTAGTGTATGTAAATTTGACAAATGCAGTATTCACGCAGTGTTGTCCAAAACATTGGCTATGATAAGGACCTCAGTTTGGCCTCTTCGGAGTGTTACCCAAAATTGCAAGTGTTCGAGTTCCGTACCGTACCTTAAAGTCTAGTTCTGAGGCCGCGGAATTTCATGGTGCTTTCCGCAGTCAAAGACGATTCTGTTGAGGCTCGTACCGTTACCTGGCTATGCTTGGCCCCGTGTCGATGCGCTCCCAGGCCTCGTCCGTCAGTGACCGGCGCCCGCTCCCACAGATTGCGGAACCCCTGGGGCAAGGGCGAGTGGAACGGGCCCTGGAGCGAGCGGAGCTGGGAGTGGGACAGTCTCAGTGACCGGGACAAGGACCTGCTCAGCGTTCGGGTCGCCAACGATGGGGAGTTCTGGTGAGTCGTCAGACAGCGAGGAGAAGTTCTTGGTATTCGGATGGGCGTTGCTCTAGTGACTTACTAATGAGGGATGGAGAATTTCGGTGACCTATCAAGCAGAAACAAGATATTTCTAGTGAGTCTTCAGCCAATGTCGACGAGCTTTTGATGGATGCTTATCCAGTAATGTCTTGTATGCCGTCACTGTCCTCAGCGTAATCGTGGGGGCCTTGCCATTGGTGTGCTCTCGATAACCTCTGCTGTTATCTTTGCACATTAAATGACCTCCGTGTGGGTTCAACAACGTATGTACGGGTTCAATGACCTCTATATGGGCTCAATGGCCTCTGCGTGGTTTTAATGAGCCCCGCTGGTTTGTCTGACCACCCTGCACTGTCACTGACCTCCGACACCTCCTGTGACGGCGACTCGTCCCTGGCAGGATGTCGTTCGATGACTTCGCCCGCGTGTTCACGCACCTGGACCTGGTGCACATCGGGCCGGACGACTGGATGAACGAGAGCTGTCTGCACAGCAAGAAGCCATGGCGGGCGGTGCTGGCGCGCCGACGCTGGCGGACCGGGCACAACGCCGGCGGCGGCCCCAGCTGTGGTGCGTGCGCTCCTCCCGTGGCTGCGCCGCGCTGTCGCTGCCATGGGAGATCCTCCGGGAGCAGGGGCTGCGGCTCAGGTCTCAGAGCAATGCAGGAGCTTACCGTCTTGGGAATAAGCACAAGAATGTGCCGTTGTAGGTACCCTGGCGGTGGCGGGCTGTCAATCCTGCGGCCTTTAGAACGGCTAAGAGCACCGCTCTGAGAACTGTCGGGGGACCAGGGATAACCGCCTTGAAGACTCAGAGGGGCTGAGGTGGCAGTCTAAAGAAGACCCAGAGGGGTGGGGGTCTCAAGAAAGTACGACAGGTCACAGTGCATCGTTACGACGGCTGCGGTTGCACGGTGACAGCTGACACCAATGGCTTTTGTGTGCATTATCACGGGTCAGGCTTGGGGCTCGGTTAAAAGAAGTGTTCCACACTTGTATTGGGTTTTTACTGTAATAGTCGCCTTGAAGATCATTCGATGGTTCACAACTCTACTATTCTTGAGACCCCCCACGCTATTTCGAGCTACACGCTTGCAAAGATGTGCAGACCATTTGGAGGAGACTTTTCAAGGTCACCCAGGTATCCATGATACCGTCACAATTTCATTCCAATCCTGTCATTCCATTGGCCATGCAGTGACCTAGGCCAATGCGTAAACCAGTTGGCGAGTCATGCATATCTGACGTTCGTGAGTACGATCTCCAAATGTCACGGCCCGTCAGCTGTCTCTCAAACAGTGCTCCTGCAAGATGACGTGATCAAACAATGATGCTACTGGGCAGCATATTTACTTAACAGAGAAAGCGTGTTGTCTAGAGCAGTTTTCACTTGAAAACATACCAACAGCTGTACGTAAGCTTATTTCATCAAGCTGATGCTTGCTACAATATCTTAAAACGCGGAACATTTCGTTTAAGATTGAATCGGATCGGACCGGTCGGGTCAGGCCACATCAGGCAGAGCCGGAATTGCACATGTTGCTTGCCTATGAAGAATGAACACACATGGCGGATTAGGCGGCTGTGGCATGTCACGCCCACGAAATCACTTCAAGAAATACCATTCGAAAGGCCTTTGCAGTATTTGGCCTGGTGGGTGATTTGTGTAAGGCTTTTGCGCACATCCACTCTGTCAATCAGCTTTGAGATCTTTCAAACGCATTCCTCATGTCGGTCGCATACATTTTTACGTTCCCACGGCTCCTTACTTCCTCACATTTTTGTGCTATTTTCTAGTCATAGTGGTTCCATGTCACAACAATTTGCCCAGCTGCTTGTCAGCCACCAGGCACGTCCAAAGAGATTAATCATTGAGCTCATGTGCTTGTTTTCAGCAGGCTGATAGCCACAGGACACGTAAAAATCACCATGCTTCTAAACCGCACATACCACTGCCGTTTTCGGGAGAGCTGGACGTCGAGCTGGACGACCAGACAATCCCAGAATGACAGCGTTTGCCGCAAACCCCGACCCATCCATTGACCACTTGTCTGACCACGTCACATCGCGTCACGTCACGTCGCGTCACGACACAGCAGCTGCCCTCTGCCGGACCCAGTGCCCTCGCAGGCCCTCCTCTCCTCTCCCCGGGCACCGCACCTGGGCTCACCACTGACCCGGGGTTGACGACTGATGCCAGCCTCACAGGGCCCGGCGCATGTGTTTGGTTGATTGGCGTTTGTTCGGTTAAACCCATTGGGTATATGTTTGGACATATTTTTCCGGTCTCTCTCTAACCTATCGAGCGTTTTCCGATGACTACGTTCACCTGTGTGTGTTGTCTATGCACCGTAGTGCAGTGGAATACCATGTGCCTTGTTTTCACCTGACAGACACGGCGGCGCAGAACCCGCAGTTCCACATTCCAGATCCCGCCTCATTTGGCCAACAAGTATCACATTGTGGTGTCACTAACACCGCCTTGTTTTCATCCGACAGAGACGGCGGCGCAGAACCCGCAGTTCCACATCCAGATCCCGCGCAGTTCGGCCAACAAGTGTCACGTGGTGGTGTCACTGACACAGGAGTACGACACGCTGCCGCCGGACGACGTCAAGAAGAAGCGGCGTCAGCTGGCGGCTATCGGCTTCTCCGTGTACGGAGTGCCCCACACCTGTCACCGGCTCACCAAGGAGATCATGATCACGAACGTGAGTCGCCTGCGGTGGTCGTGGCAGACCGAGCCCCAGATGATCTGGGAGTGGTGCACGAGCGTATTGTGTCTCCTCTGACCTTCCTTTGACTTGTGCATTGATGGGTGGCTAGCCCTGCCGCGGGCCAGGTCCATGCTGCATTTCTGCTAATTCGACCTTGACCTGCCACTGTTGAGATTTTTACCGCCATTGACTCGACCTTTGCCGTATCCCACTGTTTTGGTCCTGACCCGGGCGTTTGCAGCTCTTGATGTCCTGGTACTAGCCCAAGCGTATCATGTGGCCTGAGCTGGCCCAGAGCTGACCAAAGCTTTGATGTGCTCCAGTCGATCTGACCTTGACCGCACCATCTCTGACCCTGCTGACCTGTCCTTGATCGGACCTCTTCTGACGCTGCTGTGAAGGAACCCCGGACGGGACAGCGTACACGTATAAACGGGAAGACCCGTCCTTAACCTGCGCTCGACCCGCCCCGCTCGCGCCACAGAAGCCGCTGGACGTGACGGCCTACACGTGCACCCGCTGAGACGGCCACCTTCTTCACCCTGCCGCCCGGCGACTACATCGTGGTGCCGCAGACGGCGCAGCCCAACAGGGACGCCAAGTTCCTCTTCAGAGTCCTGACCGACGAGCAGAGCAACATCTGGTGAGCGAGGCTCGCTGCTCGCTGCGCGGCGAGAGAGTCGGGCGGAAAGATAGGGCAGGTGGCATCATGGCGATCGGGGCGACGTCTGGTGGTGAGACGCGCGTTTGTACATGAATTAATGCCAGGTGGGTGTGAATGTAGAGTAAGTGGGGAGATCTGGCCGTAGGTGAGGTGCAGTAATCGGTTTATTATTGGAAACGACAGTAAATCACGAAAGAAGAGTGATGCCTAGTAGTTGGATGGAATGTTTCTCGTTTGTCAGGGCTTGAAAGGGACCACCAACAACACGCCTGCTGGCTGCCGTGGACAATACGACGCATCAGCCAGCCCAACAGGCCTGGAAAGGTCCGATTCCTTGAGTAGTGATGTTATATGGTCGCTGAGCTGGCATCTCTGCGCGTTTGTAAAGTCGCGAAACAGCTGATGACGCGCCGGGCGCTGATTTCAGGGAGGTGAACGAGGACAACATGGTGTTCCGGCCCGTCTCCTCGGATACCATCGAGGACAGCATACGATATGTGAGCACATACGATATTTGAGATCACACGCGTCAAAGAGATCATCTTCAGACGCACAGTAAACGTTAGGTCACGTGATGCCGTTGCTTGCGCTTGTCGATTACTTGCCACATCATGACCACATGTAACTGGCTCGTTGTCGAAGCACTCCCTGGCAGCGTTGGTAACTAATGCGCTCCAATAATGGAGATCAAGTGAAAATTTGCTGTGACTTACAGGAAAGGCCAAAAGAGTAGGAAAGGCGACAAATCTGCGTGATCCTTGCACCACTTACATTGAGCGGTATGGGTGTGAGGGCAGGCGGAAAGAGATACGAAAGCAACGATGGCCTCATTTCCGACGCCAGGAAAGAGAGCGGGCGGTGTAGGTTACGTGCCGTCTTGCTCTGTTTCGTTATTAGCATTCGGACGTGTTTACAAGTAAATGAGCCCTGACTTGGCCCACAGCCCGACTCGCGTCTGATCCTGGCCAAGCTGGTCGCCAAGTATCCTCCGGACGTGGACTCGGTGATCCTGCTGAAGATTCTAAAGACGCACTGGAAGGGAGGTAGACAAAGTGAGTCTCTGGTGCCGTCGGAGGGGGCTCGTCTTAGCACCGCGTGCACCCCCAGGTTCTTCGATCTGACTACCACTACTTGATGTCCAGGAGTTCATGGCGTGCGTCATGTATTGGAAGATGCTTTTATTTAATTATTACGAGTATCGGTTAGCCGAGCTTGAGCTGATTGCTCGTTCCTTTCAGCATGACTCGGGAATCAACCATTGTCTAGTCATTCAGGCACGTTTCGTGGGTTACTACCAGCCTCCTTGAGATTTAATAGCATTTGTCAAGAAAATTGTCATGGCAACTAACGTTTATCCGTGTTGAGCTGCAAGTTTGCCCTGAATACGTCTATACGCCATGTTAAGCTCCTACAGCTCGGAACAGAGCCGCCCCATTCTACACAGTTCTGCTTAGTGCTCTGATGACGTCCTGATGACGCTCTGATGAGGTCCATCTGTCTCCTCCGCAGCGTTTCACTCCGACAAGCCGAGCCTGGAGTTGTGCAAGTCGCTGATCATGCTGCGCGACTACAGCATCTCGGGCCGTATCAGCCTGTTCGAGATCCCAGCCATCCTGCTCACGCTCCACTACTGGAGGGTTAGTGCCCATCGTGCTCATTCTCCACTATTAGATGGTCATTGCCCTGGACCCGGCTGCTGGAGATAGCGGAAGCCTTCGGGGCAGACGTGGCCGTCTGGGGATTTCTGCGTCGTTCTCAAGAGTTCGTACATCTCTGCTCGGCCGTCAGTAGAGACTGCCACTTGTGTCCTTTAAGCATTTGCTGTGACCCTCTTAGCTCGATGCGGACTATGGCGGAGGTTTTCACTTCTCTCGGACTCATGCGTGGTATTGGCCTGTGTTTATCGTATGTTCCTGCTCTGTTGTTTGTAAAGAGTTATTTAGACAAAATGTTTAACATTGAAATGGTGGATGCTTTGTGTAAGTGACTTTGATAAGCCTTAATACGATGATTCATCATCCATTTTTCCGTATCTAACATCACTTCATTGGGGCCCGTAATGTTCCAGCTGGCGTTCTTGAAGTACGACAGGAGCCACTCTAACAAGACGTCCAGCTACAACATGCGACCCATCCTGTACGAGGCGGGGGTCACCGTGTCAAACAAGGTACCTGACCACAGTCCTGCTCCGGCAGAAATAACTAAACTACGCCCACCTTCTTATGCCCGCTTGTATTGTTTCATTTACCGCTTGCGGGAGGTTCTTGACCCCCGGATTCCAAGGTTTCTGCGCTCTAAGATGATTCCTTGCCGTTGGCTTTGCTTTAGATTATTACTTTCATCGACTCCTGTCTAAATGAACCAGTGGTAACTAGTCACTCTCCAGTTTCTTGATAGTTCTCGCCAGGTAACGCGGCAAAGATGGATCCGTCCACTGGGAATTGAACCCATATCTCCAGATAATCCTTAGTCCATTGTGTTCATCGTTACACTAACAGAAACGCCTGAACGATACGACAATACAACGATGTATGAGCGTTCACGACTGAACAACAACGTTATGGTACAGTTCTGTTGGCCCTGCCGTATTACCACAGTGAGCTACGCATGGGGACCCTGAGATTCTCCTGTGGCAGGTTCTGGAGTGAGCTATGCGTGCGGGCCTTGAGATTTCCCTGTGGCAGGCTCTGGTGTGAGCTACGCGTGCGGGCCCTGAGATTCCTCAGTGGCAGGTTCTGGTGTGAGCTACGCATGTGAGCCCTGAGATTCCTCTGTGGCAGGCTCTGGTGTGAGCTACGCGTATGGGCCCGAAATTCTTCTGTGGCAGGCTCTGGTGTGAGCTACGCGTGTGGGCCCTGAGATTCCTCTGTGGCAGGTTCTGGTGTGAGCTACGCATGCGGGCCCTGAGATTCCTCTGTGGCAGGTTCTGGTGTGAGCTGCTCGCGTGGGCCCTGAGATTCCCCTGTGGCAGGTTCTGGTGTGAGCTGCTCGTGTGGGCCCTGAGACTCCTCTGTGGCAGGTTCTGGAGTGCCTGATCCTGAGGTTCACCAAGAGCTGCGTGCTGACGGTGGAGAGCTTCCTCATCGCCATGGTGCGGCTGCATTTAGCGCACGAACGCTACCACAGCATCGACACCAAGATGAAGACCAACCCCATCTCGCTAGAGGAGGTCAGTGCTGGGCAGCGAAGCTGGCGTCAGATGGTGTGGTTTGCCGGACTTGTTTAATGATATCCAAACGAATATCCCATGAAGTGTAAAACTCGTGACAGAAAGTATACGATTGTAAAGTAACTGATATGTTTAAAGGATATGTTTGATAGAGATATGCTCGATGCATAAGTTTGCTGTCGGATATCTTGTATACATTATACGTTTGACACATGATCCGTTCGGTACTTAATTTGTTTCGATAAATGTCCTGTTTGATAAATTCTGTATTTGGTAAGTAATATGTGTCATAAATGAAAGGTTTGCGAAATTATTTATTGGACAAATGAGATGCAAGGTTAATGCCACGAAGGATAAATATAAATTGTTAATTACGGTGATCATATTTACGAGATGTGTGTAGGTGATACGATGTTAATTTTTATTCCTTGCAGAATAGCCAGGAAGAGTGGGGCATAGATACATTATCTGTCCATTTTCCTGGCTATTCTACGAGCAATAAGGCTATTAGCACTGTCCATAGGATAAATGTAAGATAAATGATATATCACAGCCTACCGACAGCACTATGTCGAGGTGTTTAACGCAGCCCCGTACGCTGACTAAATGCGGCGAAATACAGGACCGCGTAACCCCTTCCCCCCCCCCCCCCCTGACAGAGGTGGACCGCGGTGTCATATCACTTCATTGAGAGATTCAAGCTCAGTCATGCGGTTTATGGAGACTGGGGATAGCATGCACATGGCTCAGAGGCAACCCTTGTATTATCGTGGTGAACTCTTCGATTCCTCATTTGTTTATTCGTTTTCCCAACAGGGGTGAAGTTTCATGTTCGGTTGAGAAACGGCGCCGGGTGGGGGATGGGAGTGGGTGGGTGGGTAGGGTGCTGCAGTCCCCAACTTTAAGAGGATGATGAATCCCTCCTTTGCTGATTAGTATCTTATGGCGCGTTGACCGCAGTGACTGTTTTGCGACCATGAAGGAGGCGAATCAAATCAACAAAGAAACTCATCTCCCATTTTCCCTCCTTCTTCAACTTGCTGTTGCGAAACTACATATTTGTCTCTCCGTGCTCAGTAATTGCACGGCATCACATTCACACATCAACACTAGCTCTGTGTTACTGCGAAAGCGTCCGTTGATTTCCATGAGCTGCTAATTTAAACATGACGTCCCTCTATTGCAGATGATCCTGATGACCATCTACTCCTGATACGGAGCATGGCATCAGCAGTAGTCCATTGGAAAGTCGTGCCTCACGCCGCGTGACTGCACGGTCGGGCCTCACGCCGCGTGACGCCTCCCGCACTGCCGTGCTTTCAGCGCGCATGCGTGAGTTCTCACGGGTGACTGTCGGAGATCATCTTCAGGACGGGTCTACTCAGACCATCTTAAGGACGGGTCTGCCCAGACCAGCGTCAGGACGGGTCTGCTCAGGCCGGTGTGACAGGCCCCCGCCCACCTCTGAAACGAAGAAGGGGGCTCGTGGGAGGTGTGTGCCCCCGCAGACACGCGGCACGTGCCCTGTACTGGTCTGCACGTGCGTGGACAGGGGGCCGGGGCGCGGCGGACTGCCCCCCCCCCCCCCCTTCGAGCTGTTGCCTACTCCATGACGAGTCAGATCGGGAGACACGCGAATGGCGGCACGCTTTGCCCCCTTATCGCGAACGCTGCGCCCGTCGTCTTCGGCCAGTGCTTTAGAGATGACGTACGCCTTGGCGCGCCGGCCTTCGGTGACATTGACGCGCGGGGCGGCGTGGAACGTGCGGTCTTCCAGACGGAAGTTAGGGATTCGAGTAACCGCCCTGCCCTCAAGACAAGCCGCTCACGCGCAGTGACCATTTTGGTCGATGTGTTAATGTAGCCGTGTACAAAAACAGCTAGGATAACCAGAGATGCATAGAACATGTCAGCGAGATCGGCCAGGGACGGTTTGTGTTGTCGATGGTCTATTATTCCCCTTTTTAGTGAGATTTGAAGCGTTTGCCAGGTCATGCGACCGCACCTCTTCAGTCGCGGAGGGCAGGGTTGCGTGGCTGCGTGCATGTCACGTGTGTGCGTGCTAGTGTGCGTGCGGTGCGTGTGCATCTTTGAGACAGCATCGTCTGGCAGCGGACGGATGTGGCAGATGATTGCCGTTTGACTTGTGCCTTGCTCTTCTGTCCTCGTGCAATGTGCATAGTTATTTATCCGCAATTGTGCAACTTTTACCTTGAACTTGTGTTGGTCGAAATATATGCAACCTGCGATTCACGCATTTGCCGCTATCAGACTTACCTTTCAAGCACGCGTCTCGCCAGACTGGTGAAGGGTTGGGTTGAGATTGGGTTGGCACGCTTAGAAGTGTCAGATTTTGGTAAAGTAATCATTTGGTATCAATAATTGATCATTGGGCCCATGAGTGTTATGATTGCGCGCACATGAAAAATGCAGCATTGTCGGTATTTAACAATGAAAAATACCAGCAGCCTGCAATAAATGAAAGGCGGAGAGCTAGAATATTCTCCTGGAGCCTTTTCAGCACGGGATAGTAGCGTAAGCGGTGCGTTTATTTCACCAACACTGCAGCAAAACGTGACAATGAACGTTCAACGGATGCTTGAAAGAACCTTTCTTAAACGCCACAACCTAAAAAAGTGAAATACGGTTGAGCATTCCGGAGAGATGCTGGGAGAGTCCATCCACAAGCGTATGGAACGTACGAAGCGTTCGCCTGAGCTGTAAAGCTCAGACACAGAATGGGAAACATCCCCTACAATAGTTGACAAGCCAAAGCACTGTGAAATAAATACAAGTGAGCGGGGGTGTAGTTTCCTACTCATTTGAAGTTGGGGGCTCCCGCCCCCCCCCCCCCCCCCGACGGGGGGGGCGGGGTCGTTGACTCCAGCTCCCCGCCAAGTTACGGAAGAAAATGGGCCAAATCTGGGGAGAGACTTGTTTGTTGGCCTCTTTTGGCGGTAAGCTGAATCATTTTTCAATGTTCAGCCCCAAACTCATTTGTTGAAACTACGCCCCTGCAAGTGAATCAGAGTGCAACACCACCAGCTTTGGTGATGACGCGTGGCAGACTTTCCTCCTGGTCAGCAGATGGCAGGAGCATCGGGCGCAGCGATCACGCACGGTAAACTCCACCCTTCGGCGCCAGGTGGCAGGAGCAGGCAGAGGGCAGCTTGAAGGAGTCGATATGCAGGCCTCGTTTGGGGTCGTACGCCACCAGGCGGACGAAGGCATGCTTCTGCAGACAGGAGGAGGGGAACAGGTGGTCCACGAAGCTGCACGCGCCGCCCGGGTGTCTGCAACAGCGGAAAAGAGCGTGGATGAAGTGTAGGCTGGGAAATCCTCTCAAGATGGCGTGTAGGTCGCACTGGGCACGGTATGTGCTGATGGCAGGGTAGGTAGCAAGGTAGCATCTCATGCTACGTCGCAGCATAAGAGTAGAATGTAACATATGCCATATCAGTATTGGTACAGAGCCTTTCCAAAGACACGTGATGAGCGGCCATTGCGGGGCTTGCGAAACGTCAGTATTAACACACTTAAAGACCTGCTCCATAGGGTAAAAGTTGCCCGCCAAAACGGGTGGATATTGGTGACGACAAGCAAAAGAAACGTAGTAGCTTGAAAGCTTAGGTAGATCTTCAGCGACAGACATGGAAGAGCCGCAAATGTGGAGGATCGCACAAGCTGAAACGGGCTTTTCCACGGTGCACATCCCGGAATCCGACAAAAGCCGTCAAATGCCCAGGTCACTCATCTGGCCTTGGAGGTTTGTAAGCGGCGGCACGGCAGGAAACTGCCCCCTTCACGACCAAACACTGTTCTGTCGCTGATCACTGCCCGCCACGGCCGTCACTGCCAGGCCCCGTCCAAGTCGCCGTCCGTCACTTACACGCAGCTCTCGAGACGGGAAGTCTGGACGTACTGCTTGTAGGCGGGATCGTGGACGAAGGCGTCCGGCATGTTCACAATCACCTTCCACTCGTTGTAGGTGTTGACGGCGCGCTTCACGCGGGCATAGAACACGTCAGACGGGCAGATGTAGCCGCCGTCACGCTGGTAACTGTCCGAGTAGGCGTAGCCGCTGCTGGAAGCGTGATGGGAGGTAAAGGCACGAGCTCGACGCTGAGTTTAGGATGTTTTAGGTTAGGTCAGTCAGAAGGTCATTGAGGTTGTCTAGTGTCCTCCATCATGATCTCTGTAAGAGACTGTGACACTATGTGACACGGAGTCATGAGTAGTGTCGTGACATGCCCAACGATTAGTGCTACTATTCACTTTTTGTATTCATTATCTTGTTTCTCGGTCTTAAAGAAGACGAAAAATAAGGGAATAAAAAGAAAAGCAGGACATAAACTGTCGGACACTTTCAAGCCGGGTGTCTGCACTTTCTTGATGTCAAAAACCGAGTGATGTTACCCGAATATGTCACATGTCCGAAAAGATGTCAGTAGGAGCCAGCCTGTCTCCAGCTTCTTGCTCAAACGGGAGATCTCCACAAAAAGGAAATCAGCCTCACCAACTTCAATAACCTACGTTCATATCATGGCAGCACTGCGGCAATATTGACCGATCCCACCCGCCGCTATATCAGAGACCCCTGAGCTGCCCCGTGCAGCCGACATGCCAGTTCAGAGCCTGTGGCCAATAGGAGGTGTCTCACGGAGGCCGGAGCCCTACTGACGTCGTCGGCAGGTGAGCGTCATGTCCGGCCTCTCCGTAGTAGTGCTGCCGCGAGTACTGCTCCTCCTCAGCCTTGGTCAGACCTGAAGCACAGGCACAGCCATTGCTTGGTTGTCGGTCAGGTACTTAGTTCTGTTGTTGCTCTCTTTACCTCGATCCTTGATTGACTGACGTGGTCTGAGCCTGCTCTCACGGAAATTAATTGCAGCGAGTGGTGCACGCACTTCAAAATGATACAGTGCAAACACGAGAAACGCACAGTTCAGTTCAGCTTAAATTTTGTGTTAATGTACATGTGTCATATTTACACGAAATGTTTTTTTGGAATGTGTATTGACATGGAAGAATCCCAAAGTCCATATGTCTGCATCATGAAACCAGACTGGCCAACATTCACGGCGTCCCAGCCTGCGGCTGAAAATATGAGCTTCAGAACATCAATTCAACGCAAACCTCCCCGTACATCATACTGCAGCTCCGTTGTTATTCGAGAGCAGTGTTGAAACCGAAGGCATGTGGTTCTCAAACTTCCTGCTCAGTACGCAAGCACACCCGCATTCCAGACGTACCGTCCACCAGGTTATCAGCTGACTGGTAGGTGACGTCACTCATGAGCCGCGCCGTCAGCAGAGGGTCTCTCTTCAACTCGTGCAAAATCGTCTCCCTGAGGAGACACATGGTTGTCCGGCTATTTGTCGGGGCACGCGACTGTTCGAGTCAACAACGTTGCCACCCCTGTTTTCAATCAGGAAAATCGAAATTTCCGGCGGCGGGAATGACGACCCCAGTTCTTACCGTCGTGAGAAAAACCCCGCAACCACTCGATCACCGCCGCCAGCCGCGGGAGGAGCACCGACAGCGGGACCACTCCAAATCGGGTGGCACCTAGCCGACGCCCTTGGGCGACACCGTTAACGACGTGCGAAGGCCACAAGGGTCATGATTAGTGAGGCCCAGTCGCTCGCCAGGGACTGTTGCAGCTCCGGCACGGAGGCGTGCATTAATCCCCTGATGTGCAGCACCAAACGTTACTGCCATCACCGGAGACAACCGCCCACACAGGCGCGTCTGAGGTCTACTGTGACTATCTTCAACGGACCGCGTCGGCGCTTCGCTCGGAATTCTGCGTTATAGAAGCGCACGCGATCGACGACTGTTTAAAATCCTCAGACCAACAAGCCTGTTAGATAGCCGGACTGTCAGACATCCAAAACGTCAGACTGTCAGAGTGCCAGACTGCGAGACTGACAGACTAGCATGTCATTGTGACAGACTATCAGACCAAGCGCTGAGGTGCTCTGGTCGACTCACGTAGGGTACTCAGCGTCGTCCAGACACACGGTGATGTTGTACACCTGCTGATTGGCCAGCGCGCACGGAGGCACCACGTGGTAGTCGTAGTGGTACGCCACGGGCTCGTGCGCCACGTGCGCCACGTCGTGGCTCACGGGCACTGGGACAGGCACGTGGGCCTTCGGGGCAGGGTGGGACAGGACCACGGCGGGAGCGTGTGCGTCGTGGGAGGCGTGGAACTGGAACATGTGCGTCGTGGGAGGCGTGAACTGGAACATGTGCGTCGTGGGAGGCGTGAACTGGAACATGTGCGTCGTGGGAGGCGTGAACTGGAACATGTGCGTCGTGGGAGGCGTGAACTGGAACATGTGCGTCGTGGGAGGCGTGAACTGGAACATGTGCGTCGTGGGAGGCGTGGACTGGAACATGAGAGTCGTGGGAGGTGTGGACTGGTACATGAGTGTCGTGGGGTGTGTGGACTGGTATATGGGTGTCGTGGGGTGCATGGACTGGCACGTGCACGTCGTGCGACGTGTGGATCGGTACGTGGACGGCCTTTTTGGCCACGACGGCCTGAAACAGATGAGTCATATTCAGGATGTTAACGGATGCCGTAATAGCCTTCGCTTGTGTTGCATGACTGATGGCGTAACCGATGAGATTACAGCCACCCAGCAACAGGCATTGACGCGTCATTCTCCATCACGACTTCTGGTTTGGGAACACGCACCAGTGTTCACCATAGCAGATGCACGCATTCACAACTGAATTATCATCACTAGAAAAAAGCACCATCTAGACTCAATTGGTCCACCAGGGAGGTGAAGCCGTGCGATCTAATAAATAAATGAATAAATGTGTTACCTTACATTGCCTTGCCTTGCCTTACACTACATTACCTTACCTTACCTGACGGTACTCAAGATTGGTTACCCATGCCCGGAATGCACATCACATTGCTATATGCATGCATATATGTTATGCATAACTTATAACATAACATATAACATTCCATTTTAAACCGACATGCACTTAACAACTCTGTGCCTCATCATGTCTGCCGACTCTAATGACCTTGGCCTTTACATACATCGGCAAACACCTCAACAGCGTCGAGCGGGAGGGTGCGGTCCCGGCCTGCGTCGAGGCGGAAGCCCTCCCTCGGCGGGTCAGTGACGTGTGAAGCACGCGCGCTGAACCGCCCCGGCTCGGGCGCGCTCAAAGTGTATTTTAACGGCACGAGCGTCCAACGGCCGAAGGTCAGCTGACTTGAGGGGGCAGTCATGAGATATGTAGAGTTTCCGGGAGTGGGGAACCGGCCAGTGGCGGCCGTTGGCAGTGGAAGATGGCCAGCGGCAGCCGTTGAGAGTGGCGAGATGCCAGCAGCAGCCGTAGCTCCACTCTCGCGACCACCCAGACGACACGACAGTGTGTTTCGAACTGTTCCCCGTCCTGACGTCAGGCGTACAGGGGGACAGCCTGTGCTAGCTGTACGCTGTGGTGAGAGTGGAGACTTGGGACATCTCAGAGCATTTCCGTGAGTTCTTTGCATGACGTCATGACCATGACGTTGCGGAGCGGTCATGACCATGACGTCACGAACTACAGCGTTGGTCGGCCATTGCAGCCAATCAACACAGCCTCAGCCCGTCAAGACCCCACTCAGGCACCAGTCATCTGCGCTCAGCCGGCCGGCACAGATTGGCACGTGCCGCTCTGATGCGCCGGGTCATGACGCTAGTTTTGCACACATTTGCCAGGTGCTTTGATGCATGGAGGTGCTGACTCACGTCCTCACTCTGTGCGCTTCGCTGCTTGCTTACGATTGGATTCGTTGTGAGAAAACTCAGAGTCATTGAATGATAACGCATTGTCATAAAAATGAGGGAAGTTGGCGGATGTAATTCGTAAGACGCAATACGAATAATAAGATGCAATTCCCCCACGCATGAATTCACTAGCAATATATACCATCTTTTGAAGCAAACGAAGTCTTTGAAGGTTTCTTGTCCAAGAAGCAATCATGGAATGTTGATACATAATGATAGCTTGTGCCAGATTACACTATAGCTTTCCTCAGCACATTTGCGCATTGTTTTCATCGGTTTTTCATGCCATCACTGTAAGGCAAGTAACGTTAAGAAATAAACAAATAGGCCTCTTTTGCGGTCGCGGCAACCTCGGACCGGGAAAAATGGCAATGTTTCTCTAAACGAGCATCATATCTGGATACAATGGAACAGGCCAAATCGCACGTATTTCTGACCATTCTGCTTAGGACAGCCGACAGGAGCGTTGGGTGTCGAACATGCCCACGGCTGGGTATCGAACATGCACACGGCTGGGTGTCGAACACGCCCACGGCTGGGTGTCGAACATGCACACGGCTGGGTATCGAACACGCCCACGGTTGGGTGTCGAACATGCACACGGCTGGGTGACGAACACGCCCCCGCCTGACAGCGGCGTGCGGGGACTGACCGGCTTGTAGGGCGGCAGGTAGGAGGAGACCTTGTGGGGGACGTCACGGTCCGCCGTGCGGATGGCGTCCGCCTCATCGTAGCTGTCGTAAGGGCTCCGGAACACAGCTGTGCTCTGTCGGAGCGCGGCCGAGCACGGCGGAGTCAGCGCGCCGACGGAACGGATAAAAGCGGCCCTTATCTTGGTACAGGGACGCTGATAACCTTCAAAGACCGCCTCTCAATTGCATTGAACAAAAAGGTCGCCTCTTGATTGCATTGAACAAAAAAGACCGACTCTCGATTGCATTGAACGCGAGTCTACAGATATATACAGACTGTAGACATCGGCCTGATTCCAAAGATTCATAAATTATCCGACGACACAATCAATATTACAGAACGCGAGATTTCATTTTGTGACCGAGATGTAAGAGGTCACAAAAAGTGACCTATTTCGTGTCCAGGATCACCGAGGTGTGACTCTGGAGGCAAAACTAATGGTGTCTAAAACGGGGCCGGTGCATGAATGGGATGCGCAAGACTTCAGGTGACAAACACAGCATCAACGGCATCGACACGGCATCAAGTCGTGTTGGTGGCCAAGCTTTCATCGGGCGTAAAGAGGCAACTGCCCAAACGCAACACCAGCCGGCCAGATGTGAGCACCTGCTCTGTTGGCACTGTCGCTTACTCGCTGCAGATCGCTGAGTGCCTGCAATGGCAGCATACGGCTGCCATTGCAGCTGTTGGCTGTTGTAGCATTGCTGGCTGAGATGCTCAACATGCGACACTTCCACCAAGACTGCCAGCATCTGCTAGAGCGCAGCTTGCTATGCATGCGTATTGAGGGCTAGAGAAAAGATCAGCTAACTTACGTATGGCACGAATGGTGTAGCCCAAGGTGCGGTCAAGTAGGGATTGCACCTACCTTTCGACCGTGAGATACCCGTTTCACGGGAACAGTCTTGACCACGAATCGTTTCCTTGGTGTGACTGAAATATCCGGTTTGATTACACAGCTGGTATCCTTCTGGTTGAAACTTTGATTTTGACAACATTTTTTTCGAGTCAAATGATGACAAGTGCTGTTGGTGCCAATTGATTGCTCATTTATTGTAAAGATATTGCACTGTCGTTACCACGGCATCCCTTCAAACCTCACATATCGATTAGCTCTCAAAACACAGGTGTAAGCGGCAATGTGAATAGCGTGTTACCACTCGGTATGCATTTGTTATGATGTGACATGTAATAACTGCGCAGCTTCAGTCATACTTTCGTGGGCTTACGCCAAGGAAAGTGAAAAGTTTTGAGCGTAGGATAACTGCTGAACTTTTACAAAGTTTAGGACTGCTCACTACGCCCCTTCCCCTCCTCTCGGCACCAACGTTCCAGCTTCCGGTAAATGGATTGGGGTGGGAACAAGAGCCAGTTAACAAGAGTTAGTCAATTTACTAGTGTTAGTACCAGTGGGTCAGAACGGAACCAACAAATGCATTCTTTACAGAACAAAACCTACGTGCGGACGAACCAGTCAGTGGCTACCGTTCATCCATTACGTACCGCCAATGGCATATCCTGTGTCCTCTGCTGTAGACGCCCTCCGAGGTCACGGTCAGGAACAGGCCAAAGAAGGTGATCTGCAAACAGCGATGGCATATTTGCATGACGTTGCTTACCACAGGCTGGAAGGCATCGCCGCCCGAAACGCCTTTGACTGACACAAAAAGTGACATCAATATTTATACCTGAGGCGAGAGTACTATATGCAGGAATTCATCTCACCTATTGGAGAACAGTGCAATTAAAAGCACCTACGTGTCCCACTTATTGGCTACCGTTGGCTTTGCTAACTGGATCGCAGCGCTGCAGGTACGCCCACCTAAGCGACGCCAGATCTAACACCACGGAACGAAAACGTTTGAAAATGGCAGCGGCACTAACAGTATGCAACTGTTGCTTTACCAATTCGAGTAACTAGTCACGGTTGACAATGCGTTTGGAAACTGCAAACAGCTCAGAAGAGAACCATAGATCAATGCCTGGTTACACAGGAATTTCAAGTCTTATATCATTTGTAAAAAAGAATGGAGCATTGCTTGTGAAAATTCAACCATACGTGATACGGGTGGGGAGGCATCCCAAAAAGGTCTCGTGAAAACTGAACGACTATAGCTTGTTTCATCAACGGATCCTATAGTCTTCATCGTATCAATATTTGAATGCATAACTCACGTTTTCTTGAGGAAATACATAATGCAAAACATTTCCTTTGTAGAGTTCCAACAATAAGCATGCACAGGAGAAGACTCCTAGCGACTCGAAATCGACGGTGTTGGTCGAAAGTGTTTAATATCTCACGCTGCGTTCGCGTTCAAAAAATGAATATTTCTGTTGTGAGATAGCCCCCAAAACATAATGCACGTGCATGGTGGTTCAAGTGATTCAGCGTGTTTTGCAAAGCATGGATAAGTCAAAAAGACATCTCAGGGCTGTTGACCAGAGTCATTATTGCTGTGGTCGTGGCTCTGGAAAGTGCCAGGGCTCCACACGAAAACGCGTCGAACATGGGCCCTCTCCAACGCTTCTCCCGGCAGCTGACCGCGGGCGCCCCCGTCAGTGTCGCGAGAAGCACCGAAGACGACCCAGGGTCAAAACGTTCGCGTGTGACACCTCGACAGTTTCCAGAGTCACTGCCAAAATACGAGGTACAGGTCATGAACGACAGCGCGCGCGGATATCCACGGATCCTGTAGAGCAGGAATTGCGGATGCACCGTATTCTGCCATTGGCGGGCTGTCAGTGAACTTCAGCTTTGTCTGGGGAAGACGTTCTATAACGATATTGCATCCCCTTGGAACATCGATATCACAGCAATTACCGGTCTCGGAGCAAGTTTCAATATGTGTTAAAATGGCGAAAATAAACCTATCCCCCCAACAGGTGACATAGGGACGCGCAGCCAAGTTTTGTGCATTCCAAATCGCCAGAGCGCATTTAATGACATCAACGGAAGTTTCTTGGCGTTTAAGGTTTTGCCAGAGAACATTTGATTAGCCAGAACGGAAAGTTTCCAATGACAAAATACGTGCAGATAGTGCATAGAATGCGCCGATATGGCAAACGGCTTGGGTTGACATAAAGGCAGACAATCACATGGGGATAGCATTTTTACGAGATCAGTGGTTGTACAATATCGTTACGGCTTTCTTTGCATTCAGGAGTGACCTAGGGCGGTACGGGGTATGAAGCATGGGAGGCATATATTTCGATATTAAATATCACGGTGGGCCTGGCGTCAGTGACAGTGGCCTGTACATCATCGCGCCGCTACTTTCAATAAACCCAGTAGGGGCGGGTGTCACGTATCCTGCTCTTCTAATGTGAAATATCAAAAACGCGTGTTTTGATAGGAAAGCTTAAACGCCAATAAGATGAACTTACGTCCAGCTCAATCAGCATTTTTGCATCTGCCAATGCATTGGGCATTCATATTGCCATTGCCAATGGGAGTGGTAAAAGAAACTGGCAGATACTTTTCTTCCATCTTTATTACGCTATATGTTATGGTATCAATGGCCGTAGCTTTGTTGCCATTGAAAGGAAAGACAAAAAAAAAAAAAATTCAAAGCAAACCTTGGTCCGTCCCTGATTTCTGAAAGCCGTCTAGTTCTGGTACTATCCTTTTTTCTCTGATAAATTGCGACTAGTATTTGTTGGCGCCCCTAGGCATGGTAGCCGAGCTTGAAAATCATCGGGCAGAGGCGAAACCGATCCCTTAACTACGCGTTTCTACGGTTACCACCGATGTAAAAATGACGAATTTCGAAAACTGTGTATGTTCCATATGAGTTGTTGCAATCATTTGGGTCTATTCAGGTTTATTGTGTCACCTACCATCTATGTCCGCTAAATATGTGACATTCAACAACCCGATTCCCCGCCCACTCGCCAGTTGAGCAGTAGTTTCTTACTTTTATCCGCATTTATTTACAACATTTGAAAGCTTTTGCATGACAAAAGAGGATTTACCTCCGTTGGTCCGTTTCAGACAAAACAACAAAAACGGTGAAAGGGCGAGAGAAGATACCGAAATTTTGGGAGGTCCAGTTTACTCCTCCGTGGGATAAAGATAATACGAACCGCATAAAAAGACGCCCCATGCATTCAACTTTAATCACAGACCTAAAGTATCTAAAAGAAATATCTAAACCACGAAGTCTTAACGACGTAACAGGCGGTTGAAGGACACAAGATAAGAAGGCGAGCATCGTGCATCCGACTTTGCCGATTTATATGCACCCACAAGCCTTTGTCAAATTATCCGATATCTGAAAACGGCAAAGAAACTGGGTGATTAAACATTTCTTAGTCACTTAGCATTTAACAAGTGCATGCAATGTAATTCAATGGACACATCAATGGTATCCATTTTACAGTTTCATTCATGGAAACGTGTAATTGGAAAGCGGCATTCGAAACCGAGTTAACCAATTTCGACCCGGGCGAGTTAGCCAAACAGGTAACTTACCAGACTGATAGGCGCCATGGCGGTGGGTGTCTGTCGTGCAGGGGGCTCCGACCACACTCCGGTGCTCCTTCCAACTAACTTCCATTTAAATACGAGCGGTTGACCACGGTCCACCAGTTCCCGGACCAGTAGAACGGTCGAGCCGGCGGTAGAGTCCAGCCGAGCCCATGCGTAACATGAATCAAACGCAGCCTTCGAGTGGGCGGAAATCCGCCAGTCTTTGGCCGTCGACACGCGTCGTGTTCAGTGGAGCGCCTCACCCCTGTCCGCCGATGCCGGGCGGGTGTCGGACGGACGCCATGGTACCGAGAACTGCAGTACGGCGGAGGTCGTCTGACGCCGATCCACACCCCACCGCGAGCTCGCCGCCAGACGCCATGCATTGGACCGACCGCGAGCACGACCGTGTGAAACTATTTTCCCACGTTGGAATGCCCGCCGGAAGAAACTTATCAGATGCTCCAGATAGAGCTGCTGTCGCATGAATGTGGATGTCGTGCAGTGGCGGCTTGAAGGAATATAAATAAGTGCGGGCGAGCCGAGTGACATCATCGTTTAAATTCATGTGGAAATGTTCGTAAATGGTATACGCATATCACTACGTGTTGCGTTAGCCGGAATATGCATGACTTATTCACATTGGTAGTGACATGAGGCATGCTTGTGATACAAGGCTAAAGAGCAAAAACAATGCATGATTCCGCCAACTCTGTTCACGTTAATAGTCATCTTCCTTTCAATTTCTGAGCAACTGAATATCTTGACTCGCGTTGTATCCATTTTCCGAAAAACTTCATTGGTCTGGCATTGTTTTGCTTTACCGCACGTAATTACACACAATTTAGTCTCTATTTATTCCGCATTTGAGGTGTAGTTGGCCCCACGCGTCATTTACAGTAAGAAGCTGACTCACACGCATGCTCAACTAGTGCTCAAGATATATTGACCGATGTTTTAGATTGAGGTGACAAGCCGATTTTTAAATAGGGCAAGTATTTTCAGCTTGAATAGCCTGCCCCGGCCGGCACGCTGTTGCAGCTTCATGAAGTTTTCGACAAAACAGCTTTCACCTTCTAAATCATATTTCAAAACTCTTAAAGGGGATGTTCCACGTTTCAAAATATTGAAGCAAGCATCAAATATGATATAATTAGCTTACTTATGACAAAAGTATGCTTTTCAGCGGAAAAGACTGCTCAAGACAGAGCAACTTTTCAGTTTAGTGAATACGCTCCTCGATGTGTCAGTGATTACGTCATCCTACTTTGCACAACATTGATTGAGAGCCAGTCGACCGTCGTTACATCTGGCATCTTGCTTACAAACGCCATATATGAACGACACGGCAGCGAATTTTTTTGGCATCGACTGCCGCATGGGTAATGTAATGCCAGGAATTGAATGACGTTATTATGACGTGACGGATGCCTGGGTGACTTTGAAAAAGTATCCTCGAAACACTC